GTCCCCCTTTTAAAACTTACATTTAATGGTAATGCAGACATATTACTTGTTCCAAACCAAACCTTGTCAAGTTTCGGGCCCCGGGTACCCCTTCTTTCTATAATTCATCCTACATCTACTTTTGAATTTGTTGCTTATTAGTTATTTGGTCTATGAATATCTGTCTATATATTGACAATGAAACCACATCTTGATGGTCCCACAAAAATGTTGATAATGTGTACATTTCATTTTTTTTCTAGCTCCTCTCATATGATAGCAGTACCTTTTTGGTCATTATTCTGTGTTGCCTCTAAATATTAATTGTAACACTTTAAAGTGACTGAACAGGTAAAACAAATACATTTGTACTTCTCAAGAAACAGAAAAAGAAGACTACTTGGAACAGCACCAGACTATGTATGAATAAAAACTCAGATCGGAATAGCATGGATGATATGTTTATACATTTTGTACATCATTGTGAATAAGCAAGGAAAGCTATTAATAATAGTGCATTTTTTTAAAGTTTATTGGGTTTTTTATTCATATTCTGTTCGAATTTTCACAGAATCTTTCAAAAAGGCAAAACTAAATTTACTGAAACTTTCAAACAATATGAGAAGTGTTTCATTCACCAAAACACTCTAGTGATTCTGCAAAAAAAAAATCATGCATGATTTTGTGAATGAAAGGGGAAAGAAGATCCTGACACAGCGCACCTGAGCATGTCAATTGCGAACTGACCCAATAATTTATATATCACGACCAGTCAACTGATACTGACATTATCAGAGAGTACACATCAAAGGAAAAATGCACAAATTACCGATAAATTGTTAAATATGATATCATAGAATTAAATATTTTTTTATTACAAAAGAATGTGTTCTCAATCTTGTCGATAGATATAACAGAATGTCATATCAATACCAAAGACAACTCTCCATCCAAGTCACAATTTGTAAAAGTAAACCATTATAGGTTGGAGTACGGTCTTCAACATAAAGCCTTGGTTCAAACCAAAACAGCAAGTTATATAGTCCATATCAATCATGACAATAAACATAAACAAACAAAACAACTATCGCTTACTAAAAATCCTGACTATATGTATTACATGAACTTGTTGCCATCAGAAATGAAAATATAAATATTCCAACTAACAAAATCATATGCTACTACTGGAAGTGTTTAACGACCGTGACTGGCTGTTCAGCCCTCGCACGGTCGGCTCGGTGCCCGAAGGCGTTTTGGTGAGCGTTTAAATATTTTTGCAGTCCGACAGGAACATTTGGAATTCGCCATTTTGGTAGGCGGCCATCTTAGATTTGTTGAGTTGTTTTGGTTTTGTTTGTTGACTACTAGTATTTTGTTAATTACTTCACAACGGCTGCTTTCAGGGCCAGGTTGGTCAGCTTGGCAGCCCGCTAACCACGATGATGGAGTACTGGTCGATGAGTCTCGGACATAGTAATAACGATGACAGGAAGCATTATCAGGACCAAAGTCGTGAGACTGAGAAATGGCGGTCAAACATCTAACACCTAGGATACAACCCTCGGACGTCTCTCGGCATACCACTCCCCCATCCATAATGGGTTTTGGAGTGTATGCTGACGTGGGAATTAGCCCTACGCAGATTATAGCCTAACGTAGTCTGTACAGCGTTGGATTGGTTTCTGTCATCGAAAGTAGTAAGTCGTTGATCCATCTAACAGTAAACCCTCATCGAAGATAGCGGGTAAAGGAGAGCTGACCCAGTACGTCCGTTCAGTTGTAATGACTGAGACGTGACTGTGATGGATTGGATTGTTACACATGCAACCAAATATAAAGCACTAAATGATAATACCAATATGAAGCTCTTATCTATAGAACTTACAAAAAAAATGTCAAGATTACAAACCGCAACAAAATAATAAAAAATATAAGAAGCCAGCTGACAACATGTTCTAGAAAATTATTTGCAATTAATATTTCATTCCAAATCCATTACCACAAAACATCTTCTTACAGTTATACTACATCTGGAAATTAGTAATAACAACACTTAACCTGTACCTACAAAACTAATTGCTTCTTCTAAGACAAAAGCCAGATGAGATATTCATCACTTGAAGTGCTCCAGCCAGAAATAGAAAAAGGCAGGGTGCCAGTGAAGGGCAGGGCACTTTTTTATGATAGGAAAAGGCACTTCTCATTTCTTTTGTCTACGCTTCTGTGTGTATCACGAGTTCACTTATTTTGTTTTACGTATATGTTGTTAATAAAGATCCATAAGTTGTTGTTTTGATTATTTACTCTATAAAATTTGCATTTGAAAAGTCATTCATACTACATGTTCATAAAACATGGCAATACACATTCATACATCAGATCACTATTAACCAAAAGAAGCGAAATAAACTTACTATTCTCCCCCTCCTTGGAAAAAGGCGTCAGGGAGGGGCACAATTGAAGGCACACAGGGAGGGGCACAATTGAAGGCACCCAGGGTGCGGCGCCCTTCTAATTTGGGCTTAAGAGACCACTGTCTTCTATACATATAAGATGTAATATTGTCATATTCGAACGGCCAACTATAGTAGTCAGAGGCTGATTTAGAGAGTTTTTCAGGGGACCCCCCTTTCGTGGGAAAACTTTGGTTGATCATATACATGTAGCAGGAGCGGGCCCCCTATTATGAAAATTTCTAGATCTGCAACTGGTAGTCCATTTTGTCTAGCAGTAATCCTCAAAAGTAAATAATACGTTTTTCTTATCAACTTGATTATAACCTTGCTCACTATTACATAACTGTCAAGACACAGTATGCATGTCAAAACTACTTGCATTGTCATAAAGAGTAAACAATCATATTCCACAAAACAAACAAAAAAGTGTATGTATCGTTACTCTAGCTATTACAAACCATATATATATATATAATATATATTATCATATGTGACTATCAAGCCTCCTTTAATGATAACCCTGATTCACCAATACTACAACTAAAATCAAAAACCAGGAGAAAAAAGACACTATATATTCTAATGCTTGGAGTGCAAGATTCCAATAAAAATCCCTATACCCACAAACCACCGATCTCAATACATGTATAAGCAGCTAAAATACGGCAAGCTTTTTAGAAAAGCTATTACTTGTCATGAGTAGTAGTTAATATCACGAGAACAATGGAGCGTTCTATTTTTAGTTACATTTTACCTCAAACTTCCGGACAAATACATTATTCGTCTTAACGGAGGAATTTACCAGTACACATAGTTACACAGGCAGATGAAAAGATAAGAAAATTCACAATTAAAGAATTTCAAACTAAACAATGCATAACTTATGTATTACGATTTACTAGTATCACTATAAATATTAATTACTTTTAGAACTGACCCAAAACGACAGAATATTGTGTGGTTAAATATAGAAATAAATTGCATGTGACTGTCAAACTAATACGTATTCACTTTGCACCGCTAATCAAATGGATGTACGTGAACTATAAATAAATAAAACAAAGAGAAACTTTCAGAAATAAAACGAAACTTTGTTTAAAACCGTATGTCAACGAATACGATACAAAACGAAGAAAAAAAAAAGACAAGTAACAAATAAAGAACCATGAATATACTTAGAAATCGGAATATGATTTATAAGCCATTATTTTATAATAAAAGTTTTATCCGCTAATTCATCTGCACAAATATTTTAAATCAACTACGATGTAGAGTTAATCAATAAAGTGAGAGGTTTAAATCACGGTTAAACTGATTCTGAAATCAGTGAAGCGTAATTGTCTAGTAGCATGGATTAAGATTAAAGGTCAATTATATCACCGTTCACACCTGGATCTGTTGATTATTGACCATATACCTACCATAAAATTGTCGGATTATTCATTTCCGACATGTCCGAGTCCGTCATTTATAGTCATAAGTCGGACTACGTACTGTATATGCGAAGTGTTACAATTGAAAGTTTTAAGAAACAAGAACAAAATATTAAAGTTACCGTGCATCTAAAGAGTAAAAGACATTTGATTATAGTTTAAATGGAAACTGACCGCAATATTCTTTAAAAATATCTAAATCAGATATGTTTATGCCGAAAGGTACCAGGCGTCTGTTGTCATGACTGTGCAGTGTTTTTCATATGGTTAATAGGAAGTAAGTACAGATGATTGGCGCCACCTACATTTCACATCCAAGATAATAGGTAGAAGTAAATTTATTTTCTGCTGCCCTAGTAATTGGAAATCAAAATTGAAATAGTGAGAAATGAGTGTTGGCCATTGGTATAGAAATAGCGAGAAATTTAGAGAAAACTCTCTGTGACGAGAAACATTTTCTGTGCCAAATTTAGCAAGGGGTGTTCTTCATTTATACTATTTCGAAAATTCCGGAACCGTTGAGTACCCTTAAAAAATGCCATTTTTCTATCAAAAAAACTGCGGCACCATATGTGTTTTGCAGTTTCAATTACACCCAAAGGTGTTGATAATTCAGATTTAGACATTTTTTTCAATGGATCTTTGATAGGGAAAACGCAGGACCAAAAAAGGCTACCATTGTCGCCTATGTAAATAATTACTTCCTTGTAACCATATTTCTAAGGTGTTGTTGACATGCATATATGAAGGTAGGAAGGGAGAGTAGACTTAAACTCTATGACCAAAAGTATTAGCAAACGTTACGTGTACCTTAAATATAAAGGAGTATCCCAATCTGAAGTCCATATCAATTCCAAGTATAAAACAGAAATAAGTGATATTAAAACAGTCCAAATCGCAAAAACTCCGATCGGAAACATTTCAAGCAACACAGTCAAAAACGTTTGCTCGATACTAGGAGTCCAACATTTGTACTCGATACACCAAATCAAGTATTTTGATTGTTTGATTCCTAAGTCTGGGTACGATAATTGTATTTGAAAGTTATATGACTGCAAGCTCCTATTCGTTGATATGGTAATCCTACGATCCGCATGCATCACTAGATAAACTTTTACTTAGTGACACCAAGGACGTATATTAGAAGGATAGGAAAGTCCCTATACCGCCTTGATAGCATCCGAGAAATACCGCGTGCTACGAGAAATCACGAGATCTTGCAGAAAGCTTCAGCGGGAAGTGCCGCTTCGAGATTTCTACATCAATTTGTAAGTATAAAAACATTATATGAATAATTAAAAACTGATTAAGTAGAAGTTATTTTATGGTATTTAATGATATTTCACTACAAAAACATCATAAGACACTTATAAACATCATAATAAGTGATCAACAGTATGGATGCCAGATGCTGCCCATGATGCTGGGTCCGAGTTGCATGACCCTGTCATGTTGCATTGAAATCATTAAATTTTATTGCATTTACTTCTACAAAAGTATTTGATTACAAGTTTTAGATACCATTTACGTTTGCATATGAAAACAGAGTGTCTTTTGTTGTGTATTTCACGTGTAATATAACATATAAAACAGCCCTTTTCGGTAAACAAAATGGCGACTTACATGGAGAATGGCCTTGTATTTTTGCAGCTAAATTTTCGTTTTTGGTGTAAAAGACGCTCTAAATTAAACGAGTTCTTTTCCTTTTATAGTTTTACGTTTGCATAGCAAGTTCCAACTTCTTTTGTTGAGAGGTTAGTCAAATATTGAAGTTATTTCTCCCCCTCCATTTTTTTGGTCAAAATGTTTACCAATCAGAGCAGAGATGCTATTTTGCAGCTATATTGTTGAATATATGCTACACAATCACATATTGCATTATTGTTTTCCATTTCTTAGACATTTTTACACTTGCATATAAAATTTAAGCTTCCTATGTTGAGAATTTGATTAGATATTGAGCTTCAAAATGAACTAATTTTAAAAAGCTCTATTTTGTTTCATTATATCTACCTATCAGAGCAGAGCTGCTAGTTTGCAGGTATATGGTTAATGCACGTTGCAGAAAAATGCATTAAAGTATTTTTTTTCCATTCAATAGATATATTTACACTTGCAGAGAAAAAATGAGCTTCCTATATTGGAGAGTTAATTAGATATTGAACCTTTCTTTGCTTAAATTAATTTTCATTTTTTCTTTCTCAAAATGACTGTGAACCAAGGCAATGCAGTTAATTTGCAGCTCAAGAGTCAATATCGGAAGAGTAAACAAAAATTACTTTAAAGGTCTTCTGTTCCTTACATGTTTTTGAGCATGCTGAGCAAAATTAAGCCTCCTATATGGCAGAAAAACATACATATTTTATGATTTGTCTTATACTTCTGTCTCAGTTGTCAGGGGCGTATCCAGCCATTTTAAAAAAGGGTGGGTTTCCAACCCAACCCCCGGAACCCCCTGTCTAGATCCGCCACTGTTCTGTCTCAGTTGTCTACGCAAAGCTATTTTTTAGTATTAAACAAATGTCAATGGAATCAGAATTTTCTATAGTTTATAATGTAATTTTAATATAATAAAAAGCTGTCTTCTAAAAAAAATTAGGGGGAAATTGCACAGTCTCAACATGAAAAACCTGAAATCGGGTCATGTTCATAGCCACGAATTGAAGGCATGATTCATGCAAATTTCAGATACTCAATACAAAGTCTGATTTCATGGCTCTGGTATTAGAGCAACAAACAAGACGAGGGTAATATTCTAAAATCATTTTGATAAATCAATTTCAACATGTATTAATTGAAAGCTAACTAAACCATTCTTTCTATCAAATTTATTCAAAACAATGCAAGATTGAAATGATACATTTTAATTGATTATGTAAATTAAGTTGGATTTTTTCCATGGTAATTTTTAATCATGAAATTAAACCCTTTGTATTTTATGTACTCCTCAATGTTTCCATTTGTTTTTTACAGGTTCTCAGGTGTTTTCATTGACCAATTTTACTAAACTGATTGCCTTGCCATTGACTAAGAAGTATTAAATATTCAGGTATGGTTTTATATAATCTTTTTAAATATATGCTAAAGCCAAGATTATTTATCAAATAGATATAGGAAGATGTTGTATGAGTGCCAATGAGACAACTCTCAATCCAAGTAACAATTTATAAAAGTAAACCATTATAGGTCAAGGTACGGCCTTCAACACGGAGCCTTGGCTCACACCGAACAGCAAGCTTTATTATAAAGGGCCCCAAAAGTTACTAGTGTAAAACCATTCAAACGGGAAAACCAACAGTCTAATCTATAAAACATACTTAATTAATAAAAGTTACAGTGGTCATTAGGGATTGAAAAAATTATGTTTGTATAAAACATTGTGAAGTGAAATGTACATGTTTAAGCGCATGATGTTCAAGTTGCACGACCAAATATAAATAGTAATATTATTAATTAATAATTTATGATGAATGTACCAAATTGAAAATCCCTGATATATCAAAAGTGTAAAAAAAAAATCATGATAAGAAACAATTATCAGTGCGGTCGGGGTTGCATAATAGGTTTTAGCATGCAGCTTCTCTGAAGTGTCAAGGTCAACATACAATGTAATAAAGTGATAATTACAGGAGCTGGAAATATCAATGTTTAAAACAACATCTAGACTTAACATTCATATGCAATACTCAGACACTTCAGAAGCAGGTGATCACAATATCAGTTCAACTTCAATTCCCAAGTATCAATGTACATTTTTTTGTACCAGCACTTGCTAAAATCATTTTGAAACAAGCATTTGGCATACATGTCAAAGTTAACACACTGTGTGACACACTGAATTTGTTATAAAATATGATTTGATATGAAATATTATTCCAGGTTCACATGTACATGTTTTGGTCATTGTTAGTGGTAACTAATTGTTTGCTTTAATCAAATGATTAAAGTGAAATTATCAATAAATCTTAACATTCATTGTCATGTTAAAATGTCATGCTTGCAAAAATTATAATTTAAATAATACAAATAGTTTTTATATGCCCGTATTAATTTTTGGTATAACGTTGTCCGTTGTCAACATGTCGGACATTGACTCAAAAACGCTTTAACCAATTTAGATTACACTTTGGTGAATTGTTTATATCTATTGACGTGAGCTCCCTTTTGTTTTTTATAAATTTTAGATTCGACGTTTCTGAGTTGTGGTGGTTTTATTCATTAAAAAAAAGGGGTTTTCCAGCTGTTTATTAATTTCTGTCTTCATTATTTTATAGAATGCCTAAAAGGAAGAAAAGGCAGAATGTGCCATATCACAGGAAAAGACGTGGAACTGGCAAATTAAAATTAGACAAAGGGCAAACTGAAATACATGCAATTCCGCCAGACCTTGCACATGATGAAGATCTTTTGCCATCTGAAACAGAAGAGCTTATATGCACCAGTGTGGATTCAGTCTCTTTGGATCATTCATATTTGTCTGATAACCAGACAGTGGCAGAACTTTGTTTAGATGAAGAAATTGATGTGGTTATTGATCAACATATTGAACTTGAATGCCAAGAAGAGTGTGTAATACATGTAGTTTCAGAAGACCCTTACGAGGCATTGAAAAAGACTGTTTGTACTAGTCTAACTTCTCCGTATGTGTATAATTCTGCTGCCAGTGACAACTTGCAAATTATAGAACATTATCCGTCATCTAAAAGTGTGTATGTTAAATTAAATATCATAATCAACAGAGATTTTTCAGCTAAGGTATATGTTCACGGCATCGAACTAAGTAGAGAACATGACATCTGGTTAGGATTGTCAAGTGTGTATGACAACATAACAAGCATTGAGAGACTATTATCTAAATTAAGGAGTTATACTGTTTGTAGTGGAAACCACGAGCAAGAGTTTCTAGATATTACTCCAGTTGGGAGCACCATAGAGCATGCCACAGATGCACAGAGTTGTCGAGGTTTTAAAGAACAAGATTTTGGTGCAGTTAAAGGGACTGTTAATTACTCTTCAACAGTTCGCAATGTCAGTTGTTTGTTACTAGTGCAAGGAAACAGATGCTCACCATGTACTCGTCTACGACGCATTCTTATAAGAAAACACAGACTTGAAGAAAAAAAAAGGTTTTCTGATGGCAGCACTCCAAATTACATTTCAAGGAACTATAAGCATTGCAACATGTCACGAGATGAGCTCATTGGTAAAATTTCACAGCAGAGAAATGTCATCACCAGTTTGCAAAACCAGATTGCCCAAACTCAAAGACAGTTTCAACGGGATTTATCAGGAAGTGGTGTGACTCTAAGTGCATGTCAGTCCATTGAGATGAGAGATGCTATGGCTTTATGTTCAACCGAAATGGAGAAAGCCTTCCCAGATTCCAATTGCTTTCAAAGACTTTTTTGGAGTGAACAATTTAAAAGTGTTAACGTGAAATCAGCTAAAGGAATGAGATGGCATCCCATGATAATTAGATGGTGCTTGTATCTTCGACAGAAGTCCAGTGCTGCATATGATGCTTTGAGAGACTCTGGGTTTATCACTTTACCAAGTGCCAGGACTTTGTTTGATTACTCTCACTACACTAAATGTGGTAAGTCAGTTACGCATATATTTATTAGACATGTACAGATATGTTGGGGGTTCTGCCTCTACAATGTATAGGGTCAATCGAAAAGATAATAAATGGAACAAAAAGTCAAATTAAGAATTTAGTCCTAAAATATATCTATAAAAAAATAGCTATAGATAATAATGCATCCCCTTAAAAATGAAAAGAAATGGTTATTATATACATGTATCATGATTATGATAATGAGTTATAAATTGCTTTATTGAATACATGTATACAAGCCATTACAGGTAACGTTATGGCCTTCATCAATGAGAAAAACCCAAACAATATAGTCATGATACATGTACATGTAGTTGGCTTGAAATTAAAGGCCCAAATATTAAGACTGAAGAAAGTTAACAGCCTACATTTTGTATTTGTACTTTATCATTCTTTTAACCAAAGATATAAGACAGGAACACGTATGACCAAAGACAACAATTGAACTAGAATGTAGTCTCCTAACATGTGACAGGCACATGCACAATGTGATGGGGTTAAACATGTTTGTGAGCCCCCTAAACAGCACAAAATACATTATAGTCATTATAGGTCATTCAATGTCAAAATGTTTATACAAGTTAAAACATACATGTACATTTTTGTACAAGTTCCAAGACTTCATTTAAAAGACACCCTTATAATTAGGCTAGGTTAAATTGTATGTATTTTTGTTGGGTTATTTTTATTTGAGCAAAACCTGATTGAATTTAATTGCAATTTCACCTACAGAAATAAATCAATTCACTTATTTTTGACATTATATATATATCATGATTATCCTATAGCGTTTTTATGAATGCCGTTAGAAGTGAAATTAAATACTGGTGAGTTGTGGCGCATTGTATGAACATTTGTCTGTTGTTGAAGGATTTGTATTGTTTTTTTGTCAATCTATTTGTTAGGTTGCTGTCTTGTTTTGATATTTACCATTTTTACCTCTCTTGCAGTCTGTGCCAAAAACTTCAACATCTACTAGTCTGGAAACTAAGTATCAAAACTTGTCAATTTATGACTATACAAAATTTTGAAAAATTTCACTAGTCCAAATCAATATTTACCAGTCTGGGGCATCGACTAGTGGCTAACGGTGCAGACTGCTCTTGATACGTTAAAATGTAGGTCACATGTACTTTTCCTTTTATTACTAAAGACTGTTTATAATGTAGGTTTACTGAAAGATTTTTTTTTCTTCAGGTAATGGTTATCAACCAGATGTTTTAAATATATTGAAATCTGAGGCAGAAAAGAAGGGCATGTATAACAATGATGAGCCATGGCGAAAGTACGTTGGAATACTATTTGATGAAATTCAGGTTAAATCAGAATTGGTATATGACAAATACAGTGGTGAATTAATAGGATACTGTAATTTAGACAAAGTTGGTAACCAGATGATGGAACTTGACAAGAGTATTAAAGGAACTGAACACTCAGACATAGCCAAGTACATGCTTGTTGTAATGGTGAGGGGTGTAACTTGCGACCTACGGTTCCCATTGGCCGGTTTTCCGACAACTAGCATAACAGCAGATTTTTTGTACCCCATTATTTGGAAGGCAGTACGCATTCTAGAGACCAGCCTTGTTGACCTAAGGGTTTTATTCATTACTTGCGACGGTGCATCATCAAACAGGAGATTTTTTAAACTTCACGGAGAGGACAATGACTTTGTACACTATGCAGATAACCCGTACTCATCTGACAACAGAGCTATATATTTTATTTCGGACGTACCCCATCTTATTAAAACCACACGCAACTGTTTTTGCAATTCATTCTCTCATAAAAATACTCGAAAAATGTGGAAAGACGGTAAAGACATTTCTTGGCTTCATTTGCTTAATTTATTCGAACAGCATTGCGAACTGTCATTATACAGCCCATGTCCCAAATTAACAAGAAAACATATCGACATGTCAACATTTGGGTGCATGAAGGTGAATTTTGCTGCACAGGTCTTGAGTTCAACTGTAGCTAATGCATTGGAAATGATATATGGAGACAATGTCACAGAGACAGTGAACTTTATAAGGGTTATGAACCGGTTTTTTGACTGTTTGAATGTGCGAAGCCTGTACGAAGGTCGTAACAAACGAAATCCGGATTTGAATCCCTACAATTCTTCAAATGATGAAAGACTGAGGTGGTTAAAAGAGGATTTCCTGAACTACTTCAGTGAATGGGAGCAAGCCGTCATGAATCGTGTAGGAAATTTCACTTTGAAAGACCGGAAGGGGATGCTGCTTAGTCATCAGACTATTACTGGACTGAAAATAAGTGTGCATTCGATTGTTGCAAGTGTGAAATTTTTATTAAACAGTGGTGCTAAGTTTGTTCTCACTCACTCTTTTAATCAGGATCCTCTTGAACAGGAGTTTGGACATTACCGTCATAGAGTTGGTGACAACAGTAACCCAACAGTGTATTAGGTTCGACACATGATGAACCAAATGCGTGCAGTAGGAGCAGTTGCTTTAGCTCCGAAGAGAGGGAATATCCACCGAGAAAATGACGAAAACCGTTTTGTAATTGACGATTCAAAGTTACCCAAGAGATAAGCTTTAGTTGTACATTAGTAACATTGTCATGATTGCAATTCTTTTCAAACTTCAAAAAGTTATGAATAGTTTTAATTTAGATTTTAATGTTTCCCCATATTTTACCAGTATTCATGAAGAATTGCTAAAAGTACATGAAAGTTCAAAGTAGATACAATATTCTGGATGTGGATCTTTTAAATTCTTGTTTACTAATATTTCATTATTTATGATATATACATGTATATGAAGTGTGCCAATATAGGAAAACTTTACTTTTGTCCCTAAATATACATGTAGGTTCTTATGAATTTATGTGTATATATATATTAATTGTTTTCTGTTTAGTATTTAATTAATATTAAGATCCATTTTGTTACATTTTGTGATCAATTTATTTGGCAATCGCCAGTGGCAGTCAGCAGGGTTTAAGAACATCAGTTGTTCGACCTGTTAGTCAAACGCGTTTTGTTAAAATATACTTTTTCACTTTTTTGGTCTTCTGGAAAGTGTTGTTTGTGCTGTATTTAGACCCTTCTAAAACGAAATTTGTTTTACATGCACACGTATAAAAATTGCGGTTTTTATCCAAAGCAATCATAGGTTTGAACGTAGTTTTCAATTTAGACTTGTGTATATATATATATATATATATATATATATATAGATACAATGGACAATTCAAAGTTAGACACTTTAATAAAATAAATCTGATCTTATCTTATATAGTGTACATATTGTATAAAGTTCTACTTCTGGACACAATTTTTATAAAACATGTTTTTCATAGAAATAATTTTTTTATAGTAAAATTGGTTGTAAAAAACAAATTGATTCGTATTAAAATGGAAATGTTTATTTAGTCATTTCAACAGCTATTTTTAGGATTATTTTTAGCAGCTAATCAAAATGAAAAAATGTTCACACAAAAAATGTAATTAGTACTAGCGAGGATAATAATAATATGATTTTATTTGTACATATACTTTGGACATATATCTATTAAATATGTCTTGATTTACTGATTTTGTGTGTGTAATTTGTGTTGTGTATATATGTAATATATGTTGCGTGTTTGAGATAAATAGATTTAAATCTAAATTGCTTTATTTTGAGTTTCAACTTCTGCCTTTTATGTGACAACAATGACAAGTTTCTAGTATATATTTCTGACACATGTACATGTACATGCAGGACTCTGGAGGATGAATATGAACAATATAAATCATATTTTTCACAAAACAGTCTTAAACCTGCTACAAGTAAAAACAGGAGATGTGATGTAATTGCCAAGAATACAACTCTTTATTTACCGGACTAAATGATGTAAATGTACACAACTGAATTCGAAGGTTACTGTATAGCTGTCAACAATGAGCAAAACCAATACTGTATATAGGTTACTGTAAAAGACCAAACTTGCCAAACAATTAACAAAATCAAATTTGACCAACTGTTCTCAACAACAACAACTAAAGCATTATCTATACTCATTCTATACAGAATACACAAGTATATTGTTTACCAATGATGAAACACCTTATAGCTCAATTCAACAATTGATAGTCATGGTCTTAGCTGTATATAAAAAAAAAAAACATAAATACTTTAATTCTTTTAATATAAATAATCAGGTAGATATGAGCACAAAATCAACAATTCAAGGATACACAGTTTATAGCAGCACTGAAATGTACTTTGAGAAGATTCTTTAAATAACAAGAACATCAATACACTGAAATATAATGATCAGGGGAGACGACTTTAAATAAAAATCCAGAAAATTCACTGATACATGTAAAAGCACTTCAGTCTACAGTTGTTTACAGTTTATTTTTAACTACTGCTAATTAGTTTTTGGTTATGTCTTTCAAGGCCTGTCTCAAACTTGAGGATGACTTTTTGGTAGACTTGGATGATATGCTTGTCTTATTACGCTCAAGTCGGGTAACAGCAAAACCACGTATCCTTAGAAATAAACGGATAATGTCTTCTGTTACAGCTGAAACAATTGAACCCTCTTCATTTGCCATTAGAATGTTACAATAGTATTTGATCATGAAACCTTCCATAATATTTTCCATCAAGGGTTCAGTTAAGAGTGAATTTGCACTTAAGACTGAGCTAGTAGACTTGCGTACAATAAGTTCCATCTCACGTACTAGCAGAAACAAAGTGTCACATGGCTTTTGGAGACCACCACGATCTTGTATATTGTACCATTTGCTATATTGGGTAACAAAATTTTGACTGTCTGATGTCATGGTAAAGTTTGAAATTACACCAAGTTTATATGCACTATACCTAGAAAATCTTTTACGCAGCGAATACACAATATATCCTGCTATATAGAAGAGAATAGACTGATCATTACTACTAAGGTGTGATTGCTCTTTTTCTGAGTTGTCTTTTTGCACCTTGGTCATCTGTGCCATAATTTCACCAATAATGTCTTCAAAAATCAATTGCAAAAATATTGAAAGTACATTCTCTGAACATGTTGGAAAATGGTCTAAAAACTTCTGTCTTAAGGACACATCCGAACGAACCTTATGAAGTTTTCGAAAAATGTTTTCTCTATCATTGCTTTGTGTCAGTTTAGAGTTTGACTCTTCAAAAATGGTGTAAATAACCTGATGTAAACATTCCTTAGCAGAGGTATTGTTTTCTAGTTGATGACATAAATCTTTAATCTCGTGTGGATTAACAACAAATGGGTCATTTGCAATATTGCATAGTGATGTTGGCAGTGCTGTATAAAAAGTTTTACTAAAAGTATCTTTTGACACCTGTGAAGATTCACAACTAGTAGATGTTGATGATTGTGTTGCTGAAACACCTTTTGTAACACGAAAGTCACTGGCCCGAATTTGTTGACCATGCTGTTTTGAGGTATGCCCTCTAAAGCCTGAGATGGTTTTCAGTGGCTTGTCACATACTGGACATTGATACAAAATGTCTGACACCTTTGCCGTTGGGTTGGCAGTTTTTTTCTTTTTAGGACTAGGGACAGCGAAATCTATACTACTGTCACTATCACTTGGGTCATATTCTGTATATTCCCCTAGCAATAGTTCTAGATCAAGATCAGTGTCCCAAGATAAGAAATCTGACATGTTAATAGAGTTCAAATCGAAAAGTAAATAGCAGATATTGCAACTCGTTCTTTTTATTACATACTCGTGTATATTTCTCAAGATTAATTTTCTCAAATCAGCTTTGGTCATTTTGAAAGTAGACAATGACTCGTTTAGTGTAGTTTGGGTCATAGCTTTTCTAAATTGAATAGTACAAAGGAAACCACACAAGCTCATTAAATAAACAACTTACAATCGGTTAAAAAGTAGAAAGGATACCGCACAAGCTCATTAAATGAACAACATACAATCAGGACTACTTTATTCTTTATTATAATTAATTATAAATCATCACAGGAATAAGGAATGCAAAGTTAAATGCTCAAACTAAATAAGGGTTAATCAAATCAATCATTGTTTCTAGAAGACATTTACTATTCAATAATAAAAATGTTAAAACGTTGAAATTTATACGATTTTAACGGCCCTGTAAGACATATTTGATAGAAAATATTTTTTTTATATTTGTTACTTTTGTTTTTGAACATCGAAGATAATTAACAAAAGTTAAAAACAAAACAGAGAATTTCTGTCATGACGATCGAGACTAGGAGTTTAGTTGTTTACATTATCGTAACTAGCCGGAAATATTTATTTGAAGCGCGCATAATTGTAGTAGTGAGTAAATCCAAATCTCACGATTTGCGATATTTTAACGAGATACCGCGAGACACGAATCCTTGTTAGTTATACGTCCTTGGTGACACCATTTATATCAGATTGACATAAAAATAAAACATCTGAGACAGAATTAAACTTTCACCAATGAGTTTAGATCCATTAATAAAATTGAAAAAAAACTTTGAATTTTACTGTAAACATGTAGAATTTAGATACTTTGTTCTTTAGAATGACACCAAAGCAAGTGGACAGAGTCTCCAGTAAAATCTTTAAAAATCAAATAATATTTTGAGATAATGCCTGGTACAATTAAAATATGATCATACTACCCAACCAAGTGCTCAAACGACTCAAATCTGTCTCGACACTAATACATGTAGTACTTATTCGACAGCAAACATTTATCAGTGGAGCTAAAACACAAAACAATCTGTTTTGTTATTAAAAAAACACTTTGGTTTTCTTGTTTCGTTTGTTTCACATTATGTTATGTTAAGTATGTATTTTGCTCCATTTTGAAGGTTATTTAGGTTAACTAGGAGTAATTGTGGTAAGTTTTTAGGCGTGGTAACGTGTCACTTTCATTTGGACCGCGTCTCTTTGCAAGGCAAAGTTTAGCAGTAACGCTAGTTGACCTTGCAATGAGATTATGAGGACAGTTGCCATAGACAGTTAGTTTTCAAGACAACACAGGTTAGTACATCTCAGATTTGAGGATAAATTGTGAGAAGAGGAAAGCCCGTGTTTAAATCGTGTTTAATATCTTATTCCTTCAATCCAAAGTTTAAATGACCAAATGTCTTAAAAAGATAAGAATATAGTCTGCAAGAAATCTATAACACATACTTCAATTCCTGATGAAATATGCAGAATACTATCTTTATTCGACATTAAGACAGACTAGCTGGACATTTAACAAGAGGAATAAGTTGTAATGGAGCATTTATCTGATTTTTGTCGTCCGGAACGAAGGCATACATAGTTTGTTTTAGGGGCCGATTTCGAACCTGTCATATATTGGTGCAGGATACATGCTTTCATCTATTTGATTTGGAAACAATATTTGTGTGTGCAGGTCTTTTACATGTGAACATTAATGAATATCACAATGTTTTACTACACTCTCACTTAATAATTCAAAATTTGGTGATTATGATGAACGAATCTATCCCATCGAACTTGAGATAAGGATACAACAGATACACTTAAGTCTGCCTCATATCTTGACTTACATCTAGAAATTGACACTGAGGGTCAGTTGAAAACAACTTTACGACAAAAGAGATCATTCCAGCTTCCCAATTGTGAACGTTCTATATCTATATATGTAGCAACATTCCAGCAGCGCCTACATACGGAGTATATATCTCCCAGTTGATACGATATTCCAGGGGTTGTGTTTCCTA